AGCCGAACATTTACATTGAATAAACGATGAATTGCAAAATGTGTCGATAAATGGGAACAATCTTGGACATCAGTACATGCATCATCTTCCTATTGTCAAATTTCATTCTTGATTCAGGAACATTTGGATAACTAGGCTGACCTCCGCGTCGTCCAGATCTCAATCCAATTGAACATTCATAGGATTTTTTTATTTTCTGGTTCTCACGAAAAGGTATATCCTGTAATGTTTAGAGAACATCATGAGAACCAGGGAAATAAGGTAGGAATTGGTGTTCTTCTTGGATTTCTGGAGGTTATATGCCTTGGGGAACATCTCCCTCAACAATGTGTTCCAGAGCCTCGCTGTTCGTTGAATAAACGATTCTTTGGAAAGAGATGTTCTGCAGGTCTCCAAAGTGACCACGAAGGGGTGCGAAGCCTCAACTCGACGGGTTAATCTCGTGGGGACTGCCAAGGAAGAAACAATTGTTGATATTTCTACGGTGTTCCAGAGAACTGAGTGAGTTTGTGAGCGAGGCATCACCCACGAGACGAATTGCCCTTTTTTTGGACAGAATCCAACAGTTTCAGGGTATGTTTGGGTGCTGCACTCCAAATAAGGGAACAGTCTTCCAGTACAGGTCGGATCTGTGCCTTATAGATAATAAGCAGCTGACTGGAAGTGGAATAGCTCCTGGCCCGAAACAAAAAAACAAGTTCTAGGGATGCACTTTTAGCAATTGATCTCACGTGATTTTCCCGAGAGAAGTTATTGCTGATAGTAATACCAAGCATCGAAATGGATGTCTGGTTACTCCTGACAAGCTCATGTTGGGCACAGTGAGATCGGCTCTTCTAGAGAAAAGGCATGCTTCTGTTTTGTTTGCATTGAAATCTACCAAGTTATTGGATCTCTATCCGAGAATTGTTGCCAAATCCTTGATAGGCGACATAGAGTTCATGAACCTTCACCAATTTTTCCCAGTGATGGTGAAAAACATGATTGTATTTCGTTACTTCGTTGTGAAACTGTGATCACCATATTCATCGTGATTATTATCATCATCATAATCACAGTTTTGTGTTGTTGTATTCATTCAATCTATACTTCCGCGCCTTTGAAATAAAATACCAACTATGACTTTCGTTACGTGAGCATTATTGTGCGAATTATTTTTGTTCTGAATTTATGTTTCTCGATTTACCTCATAGTTTCTATACAAATCCTGTAGAAATCATTAAACCTATGACGTTTGCCATAACGGAAAGTATACCTAATTATTCCTTATTGTTCACGGAGATGGAATTAATATTGCACAAGATGTGGAAGCGGATTCTTTGTTGTACATTCATTATTTGTTTAATTTCTTCCTTGAGACGAGAAGACAAATCGTTTATTTCCTTGTTAATGGAATCCAGTTTAAGAGTACATTGTCTGCACAATTGATTGATGATGATGATGTGGAATGAAATCGCTATGAAATTACTTAATTGTTATTGTCAAGTTCAAGATTCATTGAAGGCTAGCAATGCAATAAGTACGGATCGTTCTCATAAATGAAAACTTCATAGTTGTGCCTGATGAAGGTTCCATTGATTATCGTGTGAAGACATAACTACTTTAAATTTTTTTACAAATTCGTCTCGAAATATAAGAAACTACTGAAAGTATACTATTAACAAATGAACAAATAGTATTCTACGCACGCTTCGTTCGTCGTACTCCAAACAACGCGTGCTATAAAATGAAAAACTTGTATAAGAATCTACTATTTGGATTCGTCAACTAAACTGGGCGTCAATTGAAACGTTAATAGTGAAATTTGGCATCAAGTTTGACTTCTCGTAATTTCTAAAATATTGAACGAATTTTGAATTGCCGCCCAGATTCTGAATGCCTTTTTCATCGTCTTTCGAACCGTTCCTTACAGCTTCTTCTAAATTGACCAGGACCCGTGATACAGGGTGAAACAAAGTTTCGTGCATTTTGAAAAGAATTTCTCCGCCCCCCCATTTTGTTGGAAGACCACGATGCTCATATTTTATTCAGGCATTTCATGAATAGCATCCATACCTCGGGACGTTTTCGAGGTTTTGCCAAAAACTACTGTGGTTTCCGAAAAAAATTTTTTTTTTGCATTTTTTTTAAATGGATGAATCAGTCTATTTATTGTCATGACTGAGTGCAAATGGTACTTAAATGAGTTTGGTTATATCCTAATCGTCGTAACCTGAAATAATAATTATCTGTACTGAATTATAGTTTATATCACTATATTGATCTTATCTAATGATATTTTCCATTTATGTGAACGAGGCATCTTTAAATTTTTCAGGACCCGAATTACACTGACATTTTCATGAAAATTGGCAATTGATATAACCTCTATGCATACCTACATTGTTTCAACAATACGTTGTTATAGAAACAAGGTATCGTTGTTTGTTTTTGTTGATGAGATATGTGTTGATTTACTGCTCACTAAGATAGAAAACTTTTATCATAGACTGCGAAGTAATAAATTATTGATTGTTTTCGAATAATCTGGTATACATATCTGCTCCAACGCTTTCCTGAAATGCATGGAAGCATCCATTTATGGAACTCCTCTAAAATTAGTCCATTTAAAGAAAATACAAAATTTTTTTTTTCGGAAACCACAGTAGTTTTTGGCAAAAACTCGAAAATGTCCCTAGGTATGGTTGCTATTTATGAAATGCCCGAATGAAATATGAGCATCGTGGTCTTCCGACAAAATGGGGGGGCGGAGAAATTTTTTTCAAAATGCACGAAACTTTGTTTCACCCTGTATCACGGGTCCTGATCAATTTAGAAGAAGCTGCAATGGTTCGAAAGACGATGAAAAAAGCATTCAGAATCTGGGCGGCAATTCAAAATTCGTTCAATATTTTAGAAATTACGAGAAGTCAAACTTGATGCGAAATTTCACCATTAACGTTTCAATTGACGCCCAGTTTATTTCTCATTATTATTTTTTCCTTTTGTATTTTGGTTAGGTGCAAGAGTAAGAATGGAGTCATCCAATCTTGCATCCTATTGGCAGATACAATCTAATCTAAATTGTATTGCTTATTCTTCTCTCAATAAATGCATATTATTATTATTATAATTATTATTATCATTTTTAAAACCTTGCTAGGTTGAATAAAACTCTATTAACTTACTTCAGTTATACAAAAAAGTTTAATAATTCGATAGTAGCTCAATTTCTCAGTTTTTGACAAATTCATTTCACTAAAGTTGGTAGAAACTTCATTTACCTAAAATTGGTACAAATATTAATGAATCCGAGTCTCAAAAAATGTCCAGTATAATTTCATGCTTCTTCCTCCAACGAGGAGGAAAAACATCCAGAAATTTGTTCAGTTGCTAAATGGAAACAGTACAAAATACACGCTTTGAATTAGTTGAAAATATTAGGTGTGAAATCTTTAGTAGAATAAAACAGTTATTACTGTCAGTATTAGATTGAGATAATGCGATGATGACCTAATTTTGCTAGTTGTGCTGATAATGATTGAAGTTGTTTTCGGCAAGTGAACAATAACAATTTAGTACAATTTGATAATCGAACTGATTGGTCAACTGAACAACTTTTTCCACTGTGTTATTCGAAAATGCCGCTGAATTGGAGCTCACCAATTCCAGTTGGGATAGAAATGAATAGTTCAATATTGCCAATGAGTTATCAAGTAGGTAGTGGCTGATCTTCTACGTTGAATTTCTACAATGAATAATCGACAGCCAAAAAAACCTTGATTGTCGTAGACAGAGACTCATTAATATATGGAAATAGCATTTCCTTTCTGTTCTATCGCCAATAACACTGAAAAACTTGATAAATTTACTATCAATTTACCATCATTCGTCGCCATCTATCAATAACTAAAATAAACGGTGTTTAAAGACGAGTTGGTAGTTTCAGTTCTCCTTAGTAATGTCTGAAACGATAAACTCGACGACTGAATATTTTTCAGCTGAATGTGCACACATTGAATCAAATACATCAGAAACATGTTTCATGATGGCGAAAGTGTCACAAAAGGAGTAATTATCATAATTTTTAAACGATTTTCATCGCTTTCATGATGAGATCTGAAATATTCTCAGTGGAAAGTATTTATGTGATATTTCATGATATAAACCAAAGTGAGAAACTCTAGTTTTTGGATTAACAACACACACGAAGAAGATTAATAACGAATGATGTAGATTCTACTACAATTATTTATACAGGGCTTTTCTACTTTTCAACTAAAGAAACTGAAACTTTTGATAATGAAATTCATGCATGAATAATATATTTCGGAGTGAACTTGAGTGATGCAAATTTCAAGAATCCTGACGTATACTTCACAACCCTAGAATATAAAGTGAAAACGTGGATATTGTATTCCAACAAGTTGGAGCACCACCACATTACTCCAGAAAAGTTTGATACTGTTTGGATGATGCTTTTCCAAATAGTTGGATTGGCCATCGAGGTCCTTCGGAATGGCCAGCCCGCTCGCCAGATCTGACACCTCCAGACTTTTTTATGGGGATATTTGAGGCAACAGCTGTACAAAACTGGACCTGCCTCAATATTGGAACAACGAGGGAGAATGATAAATATTTGTAGAAATATCGACGTATAACTGTGTTCGAAAGTGTTAGGCATGAAATATCAGATAGGTTGTTTCTTATATCAAGAAGTTCAAAGCAACCATTTCGAGCATCTTCTGAACTGAACTCAACTTCTTTCCTCAAATTATGAAGATGAACGTCGATGTATTCAGGCAATTATCAAATGTTTCGCCATTTTGTATCAGGCTCCAATTTCATTATCCCAAGTTTAAATTTGATCAGTTGACCCGTTCAAAAAATAGAAGGGGGTGGACATTAAAGAAAGGCACTGTATTGCTTTTCGCTAACAAATTCTTCATCTATCGGTATATCAATTGATTAACGTATTTGTATTCCTAACAATCTTACAATTTTGTTTTCAATTTTTGCAGAAAAATGACAAAGAATATGAAGAAATTTTGGGAATTCGGTGGAGGACGAATGGTGAGTACTTATTTAATATCAATATTTTCAAGGCACAATATTCCTAGATCGGTTGTATATGTATATAGTTTATAGATGAGGAACGACTGATGAAGAAGGTTTCCTATACAGGGTGAGTCATAACTATTGGGACATAGGCTAAGGGCGGATTGTTTGGACCAAAATATGGCGATTGGACCAAACATGCCTCAATAAAATATTGCTGTGAAAAGAGATACAGAGCGTTAAAGTTGATTTTTTTCGTTTTTTGTCGGTTTTTTGCTAATAATCTCACTGTATATGAAATATATTTGAAAAAGTTTTGTGATTTGGTTGCTTCCTGCCTAGATATTAGAGATATTACAATTCATACCTTCTGGCTGCATTTCGCATTTCTTCATTCATAAATAAATGATTGTGAAATATTCCGAAAACGGAACACAGTATCGAGTTTTACCAAGAGTACCTTTTTGGCGTGAAATTGAATGATGTTCAAGTTCACATCAAATTTGGACTGAAAAATGTAACCTCAAAAAAGTCATCCATACAAAATTACATCACAATGTTGCCAGTAGTTTCGACATAATCTTGAAAAATATGTGAAAAAATAATTTTTTCAACACCTTGTTTCTTGATAACGGATGCAGTTGCGGAATTTTTTCACTGAGTAAACCCAACTTATTTTGCAGTGTTTTACCTACCCTAGCAAGGGGATAAGGTTCTTTTGAAACACCCTGTATAAATGAAAGTCACATAGTCACATGTTGATGTATGATGTGATGGCGCGATTGGTGGAAACTGAACATTTACTCTCATGTTTCAGATGTTTTATTCGCACATAAAGCCCCAAGCTTCTACAGCTTGCACTAAAAATAGTCAGGTGTATTGAAAGCTCGATATCAGTTTCTCGTTTTGAAAACTATAATTGCTAATATAAGAAATCGTGTGCAGTTCAAGTTCAAGTCAGCACGAATTTCCAAATCCACTCGCATGTGAAATGGCAAATATTGAAATCATTGCGGTGAAAATTAATTAGATACATGGAATTTTGTGAAACTGTATACAACGATATTATTAATTCCACCTGTTCTGCTAATTTTCTGAGAAAGTATTGCACTAGGTACCAATTGATTCTTTCCAGCGTTAAATTGTACAAGGTTTTTATTTCCCCATTCTTCGTCCAACTGATCTGGCGAAATTGCGACTATGGCGTGCTATGGCTTTAATATTTGATGTGAAATAATATTTCGAAAATATAACTTCATCTCTTACACATCTTGCTTTCATAATGGGCTTATATCACAAAACATTTTTTTTTCACAATTCGATAGAACTCACCCAAACTAGCTCACCACCGCAAACCGTTTCTTGCTGTGAGCTCCCTACGTTTTATAACAAACTATTGAAATCCCCGATTTTTCGGACCTCTGGAAACGAGGCGATGTGACGTCAAAACTATTCTATTGATGATTGACCACATAATTCTATCGAAAAATTAACTGGAATGTTTCATTTTTGGACATAAATAATAGTACCTTTTGAAAACGGACCCTCTTATGACGTTGAAAACTCATATCGTCATAGTTAAAACTGACACTTATCACTGTTGCCATATCATCCAAACAAAATATCCGAGAGATCAAAATCGATATTGAAATATCTTTTGATATCCACTACCACTACTTCAAATAATATATTCAAGTTGTCGATTGTAGGATGAATCATTGGAATATAAACAATCACAATTTCACAATAATCCAATATATTTCATAAACGCAGCAACATTGCTTTGTTGTTCCGTTTTCCATGGAGCTGCAAAAAGTTAATATAGGTAGGTTAGAATTGATCTTCTTCTTGTTCTTATTATCTTTGTCCCAAAAATCAACTTGCCGATTCACTAATCTTGGTGCTTTGTCAGAAATCATCTATCATTCATCTCTGTCTGGAATAGTCTTGTTTCAGTATTAGGGTTTTGACGTCACATCATCGCCTCGTTTACAGAGGTCCGAAAAATCGGGGATTTCAATAATTTTTTTTAAAACGTAGGGAGCTCACAGCAAGAAACGGTTTTTGCGGTAGTGAGCTAGTTTGGGTGAGTTCTATCGAATTATGAAATAAAATGTTTTTGTGATATAAGCCCATTGGCATTCTCTATGATATAAAAATATCAGCTACCAATAATGTTCAGTATTGAAATGGAAATTGAAATGTATACTTGTATAACCTCTGGTCTTGATGAGCTTGGAACTGGGAAAAAATCGTTCATGATATTCGAATTATGTCTCAAACAGGTTATATGACTTTATTCGAATGAATTCATTTCGGATATCAAACCCTCCACAGTAACCTTAAGTACAGTTATTCTTTCAGACATTCTTTATTATATACACAATTTTCATCTCTCTATAATATAACCAAAACTATAATGAACTGACAAATCTGAGAATTAATTATTTGTTGACATTCAATCCCTGTCATAAAAATAATAATAAAAACATTTGTTAGTGATATTTTATTCAGAGGTTACTTGGTACTCCTGTCATATCAATCATTGAAATGTTGACATTTTTAGACTTTCTCGGTTTGTTGATGTTGCCGTTTATTACCGTGGTAAATTTATTAAAAACGCGCGTTTTGGAAAGTTGGATTCAAGCATGCTAAGGCGTTCTGCAAATAAGCATATTTTACAGTAAGGTACTAATAAAAACATGATAGTTGTACTAGCATTAAAATTTTCAACTAAATAATATATTATGCCAATGAAAAATGAACGGAAGTTCAATGTCAAGGCCGTGGAACCACTCATAAGCAAATTACTAGATGCATGCTATCGAATTTGCGTTATTCGTGGGTACTATTAAATTATTACCTGCCTATTAAATAACAATCGGACATAATTGGATGGAAATTTGATGAGGCACTATAGGGAATCTCACGTCTAATTAGGATGCCAATATTTAATTTTTCGCAAAATTTTCCATAACATCAAATCGTAGTGTGCACTTAGAATAGTTGACCTCTACAGGTTTTTTTCTTTGAGGAACCCATAGGAGTGAATGAGTAAACGAGCAGGGCGATCCACCGACTCTCAGCTTCTCTGATCCATCTGAACTGCTGATCAATCGAACCGCATCAAGCACATTCTTGCTCCAAGTTCAACATTCAATATTTTTGCGATAATTTCACTTATTCGGATGCGGTCTTCTTTATTCTGAAGATTGATCCATTGAATATATGACAGATAGACCCCTGATGGAGATACATGGTAACCTCTGGCTATACAGGGTGACAAACAAACCTCTGTAAAATATTGAAAAATTCTTTATACTCCCAATTTGATGGAAAATTTTTGAGATTTTTTTCAAGCATATTTTCATAATTCTCAAGCATATTCCCCGAAATGGTTTTGCAATTTTCCTCTTATCTTTCCAGATTTTCGAGAGAAAGATTAAAAAAAAAGTGATATTTTATACTACTCATCAGAAATAGTCTTATTTGTGGATCACATATCACAGATTTTCTTCTGAATGAGCTATTGTGATCTGTATTGTATGAAATCTTATATTGTTAATGAACAGAGTGTTTGGCAACAATATTTGATAGATATTATTACATAATTTTACCTACCCTAGCAAGGTGGTTAGGTATTTTTGAATCCTCCTGTATAATTCTATAAGATATCTAATGGTTGCTAGTACCTTTATTACCTAACCAAATTTTTGCAACAGTACTGACAGGAAAGCTTGCTGGTATAATATGGCACGGATATAAATAGTAATAATGTTTTTATTAATTCCATAGACAAACTGATATATTAACAACTATTATGGGTATATCTATAAATATTTAAAAGTCCAAACATAAATATCAATATTGACTATTATATAAGATTATACCACTAATTGTTTGTATTACTTTCTATATCTGAGACTGCAAATCCTTTACAGTTTCTCATGATAATTACTTCGATACCCACCATTAAACCACAATCACAGTACGATGGTAAAAAGTTTCCTCGCAAAATAATTCGCAGAAAAGATTTCATGTTGTATCAAAATGTGCAATAATTATCTTTTGACGACTTTGATGAGCAGTTCCAATGGGGAAATTAAACCTCACTATAATTGTAAGGAGTAGAAATATAATTACTGTTATTATGAGTTCGAGTGACATAGCAACTTTTTTCTTTTCTGTAAATGGATTGTTTCAATGCACAATTTCCTTCATTATTTTGAAGTAGTTTCACACTGATCTTATACAGGGTCTTTCGAAACGAAACCTTGACTCTCCCTATAATTGGAGAACCGAATCCTCTACCGGAATTCGTCGAAACCGGTCAGTTTGCAAATTCGGAAGGAGCATCTTTGACAGTCAAGTCAGCTAGATATGTTCATCCTCCTCCAAATTCAACTTTGAGATTTCAAATTGGATTACCTTCTTCATTGTCAGATTTTTTGGGATTTTCTCTCCTCATTTCTTTGAAACGAAAATATGAGTTTCTTCACAGAAGAAATATATTTTTTCTGCAACCGACACCAAAGTCGTCCATTTTGATACCAAAATTAGCTCTTAAATTGACGTTTCTACTACTGACACAAAAATAGGTATGTTGCTAGGCAACATATTTAGTTCCTTGGAGCTAAAGTTGCATTTTAGTTCCTAGGAGCTAAAGTTGAACTTAGGCTTCTAGGAACTAAAAAGGATCTACTGGACGTCATCAAGAATAAACAACATTGTGACGGTTGGTTATTTGGGTTGAGACGCATACCTGATTTGTTTCCGATTTCAGCAGATTTGGCATTTCATACCCATGCTGGGGATATAAATACACCTTATTATAGTTTAGTATTGAAATTATAAACATCTCAGTTGAGTATTTTTGTTTTGATCAAGGAAGCCTTGAGGATTCAAATACTTGCTTGATCTGTATTTCATTCGTTATTCTCGGGATGGATAACTTGTTTTCGAAAAATCTCGGCAAGCAATAGTTTTTTTGTCTCAAACAACGATATTGTTTAGCT